GAATGGGTGGTGACGTAGCGCTGGTGTGACACGAGGTACAGGTGCTGTGCGCCGGCGCTAATGACTCAACCGATCGTACGATCGGTCTATGAGTGCTGTGAATGGATGTTATGAATAGTGGACTCGTTTACTACACATTCATATATAAGCCGTACGTTAAGCCCTACGCGAGAGATAAGGCAATTAAAAAAAGGACATATTATTCATACAGTGGGAGACATAGCGTAGCGATTGTGTGCCTCTAATCAATTGAAAGTCACACCAAATATAATATTTATACATATATTTTGTCGCTGATTATCGCTGTATTTGTGTTGTCCGTACAGATTGTGTGTAAACATATTTAAACGTGTAATAAGTGTTTGGATTTAAGGTATTAAACGCGAAAAAGTTGCGGAAATATTTGAAATATTTTTCAACACCACTCGCATAGTGTATGCTATGATAATGTGCGGCCAGACATGTGGTGACCAATGCTGACCAAAATGCTGATCAGGACTCATATTAAGCTCAAAAATCTTTTATTATTATAATATATTAATAATTATATACATATTATATATATATTTAGTTTATAATTAATAATATATTCATATTTTTATACATTGTACAACAAGTTTTTTTTAATTACAAGTATATATTATAAAAATTGCGACAATTTTTGCTGTTCACCACACATTTCACGTCATATTAATTTAAATCCCTTTTTAAAGTCAAAAGTATTTGAATCTATTGATCGCTATTTTTGTAACGAAATACAAGTTTTTAATAATATTTATAATTTATAAGAAAAAAGTTCAAACACCACCACTACTGGCGATAAACCATTTGATAGTTTCAAAAGTATTTCACTTGTGATACAAAACGGAAAAAAAGTTTTTTTTCTGTTTCTCAGTCACCGCTTAAATCATACGACAAATTAATAATTAAATTACAATACACTGCTAATAATTACTACTTTACTATCCATAAGACACTGTATCTCTCCATAGACTTTGCGATGCGATTGAAGTCAATCCAGTGTTTTATAACATTAATAGTGTTTGCGATGAAACCCACATTCAGTTCACTAAATGGCAAACAATTGCGAAAGTGTTTGACGAACAAGAAGTTCATTACCGGCGCCGTCGGCGGAGTGTTGGCGCTCCTGTCCATCGGCGCCTTCCTATCGTTCAAACCGGCCCTCAAGGCGCTCATCCAGTCGAAGATGAATCTGCACCGGGAGTCCGAGTTCTTCAAGTGGTGGGTCAACCCCTCGGTGCCCACCGAAGTGGGCATTTACTTCTTCCATATACTCAACCCATACGACGTCCAAAACGGGGGCAAAAAGATCAGGGTCAAGGAGATGGGCAAATATATGTTCAAGTAAGCCATACGCCCCCTCACACCCCCTACTTGGCTGTGTGTTTGCCATAGACTCGGGAGGCCGTGACTCGACAATACTGTACCGATTGCTTAGTAACCTTAACATAGTTTTTTAACACCCCTTCCCCACCAGTTTAGACAACTCATCATTAGTGCATCGCATGTGCTCTCCTCTATAGCTCTCCCTAATACTCTCTCTACCCATAATGGTCTTATCTATTAATATCTTTTTGTAACCCTTCCATATGTCTGTCTCTCTTTTATGTCTCTCTCTCTCTCTCTCTCTCTCTCTCATATGTCTAGCCATAGCTCACTCTTATCGCGCATATCTCCCTCTAATAAATTTGAATCCCATGTCTTATACACACCGTTATCTACCGGTGCCCAAAACTACACCCCTATTAGCGCACATACAGTTGCGTAGAGCGACACTGATATGACACACAGTTATCGCCACAAAACAAACAAAACTATCTGTGAATGACTTAATCATAAAATGTATTTCTCGT